CAACATTGAAATGGAAGAGTCCTTTTTGAATCATCCTCCTCTACAAACGATGCCAAACCCAATCACAATGCCAAACATTCAACAACATCAAACTCAAGATCAACTGCTCATGCAACGAGCTCAACGCAATGCACAGCACTACCAGATTGAGACAATTGACAAGCGACTCATCATCACCTATCAAATCGATCCTGCACATCAAGACGATTGGAGAATTTACGTGCCTTTGAGTTTGGTTGATGATGTAATGATCTGGTATCACCTCGTGCTTGGACACAGAGGAAAAACGTCAATGTATGCTACGATTGCAAAGCGATTCTATTCTCCTGGATTGAAGCAACAAATTGAACGATTCAACTGTGAGATTAGCCAACTCAATAAAGCGGCAAATGTTCAATATGGACAGCTACCTGAACGACACGCGGATTTGGTTCGATGGTTCTCAGTTGCTGTTGATTTGATTGGTCCATGGAAAATTGACGTCAACGGTAGAGAACTTGAATTCAACGCGTTGACTTGTATTGATCCCGTGACAAATCTCACTGAACTTGCCTTTATCGAGAATAAAACTGTAGCACACGTGGCAAACGTGTTCGGAATGCTGTGGTTGTTGCAATATCCGAGACCGTACAAATGTATTCACGATCTTGGAGGCGAATTTGTTGGTGAAGCTTTTCAAGCAAAACTTGCTACTTGGGGAATCCATGATGGCGGAACCACTAGCAAGAATGCGACTGCAAATGCGATCTGTGAACGAATGCATTTGACAGTGGCAAACATTTTGCGAACCAGATACAACAATGCTGCTCCAAACTTTCAAGTCCCTGTTGAAGAAATCAAGCGCGCTCTTGCTGCTTGTAATCATGCAATGAGATGTGCTGTATCGACAGCATTGATGAATCATACTCCTGATGAGACTGTGTTTCATTGTGACATGCTACTAAACATTACTGTGATTGTCGATCTACTTTCTATGCAGCAAAAGAGACAGTACAAGATCAGCGAAAACTTTAGGAGAGGACAGAACGCGAAGCAAAAAGAATTTGATTACAGAATTGGTGGAGAAGTTTTGATCAAGAATACTGATGGAAGGAAGTTGGATCCAAAGTACAGAGGTCCGTATCCTATTACAAATGTTTACGCTAATGGTACAGTGAAAATTCAGCGCACAGTTGCGATCCATGAAAGGATCAACATCAGACGGCTTGTGCCGTTCCGTCAAGTCTAATGGACAATATGCTTGCATCGCCCGTTGCGTCAAGAACCACCTCTGAAGTTGAATGGAGGATCAAGTGGATGTAAGGACGCCTTGTGACTTTTAGTGTACGATCAATCAACTGGCTCTGATCATAGAAGGGAAGAGTGTAATGACCTTGGAATGACCTTGGAACTAGATTAGACCCTTTGGAGGTAGAGACATAGCTTTAGGCCTAACTCTCACGTCACTCCTTTCTGTGACTTTCTGGGAGACTCTATAACTATTGTTGTGACCCATTCCTATCTCTTCTTCTAGGCTGGTTCACAAAGTGCTCAATTTCCTCACTTGAGTATAATGAGGACTTTGAGTAAATTGAGTACTTTGAGGGAAATGAGGAGAAGCAACCAAGTTGGTGGCTTCTCCTTGTTTTACTCGTTATCGAAATTCCCACAAAGATGTCCACCAATAAATTTATTATCTCCCCCACATTATCGGCGATGTTTTATCGCCAATCAAGTCTTGGACTGGCAGTTGCCCCAAGATCAGCGTAGTTTACTTGCACTTCTTTGTACATTCTGATTTATTTTATATTTTTTCTGAGATTTTAAGTGAGCCTGTTTTGCCAAATTGAAAATCATGTCATTGTGAATATCATCCCCCAAAATTCAAGTTCATTTAACAAACTTTGGACACATATGAGTAAAAACCGCTTTTTGGTTGCTTCTCCTCAATTCCCTCAAAGTCCTCATTTTACTGAAATTGAGTAAAATGAGTACTTTGAGGGAATTGAGTGCTTTGAGTAAATTGAGGAGAAGCGACCAAAGTCCTCACTTTTGGTGGCTTAAAATCGGAAGCATTATTTTGGGAAATATGTGGTCTGCCCTCCATACGTATAGTTTTGTAGTCTGAAAGGATCTGATAGTCACAAGTTTTCCTTGTCTATATTTGGTACAGTGGAGCACGCCTGTGGTGACCAGCTGAAACGTATATCGTCTAATATACGGTAATGTCTGTACGTCCCTTCACCATATAAACATAGCTTATCGTGGATAGAAGCACAGGATATTGTTTGATGCTTCATGGCGGCATTGTTCACTCCAAGAACACATCAAGGACATTCTTATTTCCATTGTATTGACCATTACTTTGGCCTTGCTGCGAACCATTTTGTCCAGCATTTCTTCCATTGGAACCATGTCCAGAATTTTGAAATCTTCCACTCATCATGAGCAAGTTCCTATTCTTTCAAGTCGTAGGAATATATTGACCCCCAAGTCAATTCAGTGACTTTTTAAAATATATGTTAGAAGTAAGCGATCCACTGCCGCCTGCAATCTACGTGTTCAATTGACTGCAATTTAGCGGTCCAGGTATTGTTGCCTTCTAAGTATATGAATTTACAGTATATAAAAGCATATAGATCAATCAGAGATCCTACTTTATCAACCAATTCACTCGTTGCTTGTGATATATTTTAAAAAGTGAGAACAATCTGTCAACTTTTGACTTTGACTCTTTTTCTTCCAGCCCAGTGAAAATTCTCAGAATTATCTCTTTGTCAGCCTGAAATGCTTCAAGTTCAATATGCTTATTCGTTCACCTTCCACTGCAGTTGGTACTTTGATTAGTATCCAACTTTGGATCTTCCTTGAGTCTTACTTTCTTACATCATCAATAGGATGATTTCCATAGAAATATGATCCGTTTTCTGACTCGCCACACGTGATATTTTTAGTTGTAACAGTCTTCATCTTTAGTTGTAGCAGTCAAAATATTTTTCTCTATCGTTCACATGTATTCTCCTTTTCTTATTTTTCCAAATATATACTTTAAAAATCCTAATATATCCAACAGAAACCATGACCCCAAACCTGGCATAATTATCCCTGTCTCCCCATGATATTATCCCCCTCCCCCCACAATATTAATCCCATGAGTCACATGTGACATCATGGGTTTGCCCATGATAATGTCATTTGAGGTTCCATGAAAATGTCACAAATGCAACAAGCGTAGGGGATGGTCGGTCTTTGCTGTACTATGACCCCACCAAGGGATAAACCATGACCCTGGTGTGGGTGGAAACAAGGTCAAATCATGTGCCATCCTCACATTTGCATAATATAACTCACCCAATACCATACAATATCCAGCAACAAAAGAGATTTGATAGACTATGATGTTCACAATTATAACTACTAGAACGACATCGTACGGATTATTCTAATACACAATTACAACTACAAGAAAGACAATGTACAGATTATGATAATATCATCAATTGTTCTAATCTTCTCTTTCTTTCCGCCATCTTCCTTCCCAACTTCCCTCCCACTACCGGCCTGTGCTTGTAAACCAGTTGCTTCTTTCTCCTTGACCTCAGAGACTTCGTTTCCTCAAAGTCAGCAAGAACCTGTCCTTCTAATTTGGTACCTGTCCTCTCCACCTTGCGAAGTAATTCAATCTTCTGTTCCAGTTGAGTCAAAATCTCCACAACCTCTTTGCCCCATGGCAGCTTGGTATACCCTCGCCTGCTTGAACTAAAACGGGTCGCATACTTTTCATCCCCTGCCAGCCTTTTCTTGTCTGTTGTTGGATCCACCACTAGGGCTCTCCATCTCTTCTCATAGTTTGCAATCAACATCAGAGCAAAGGCTTCATCGGACGGACTGTATCTCTGTGTGATGAAGTCCTGGTGGCCCAAGGCGTAGACCTGCTTTGAGTTCCGGCCCGTCAGCTCATGGTTGATTGACAACAGGACATTTGCGATGAACCACTTGAATGCCTTGTAATGTTCTTCCCGCCCTTTGATGATATTCCCAACTTTGTCGAAATACAAACAATATCTTTCATTGAGAAGAAGGGCACCAAGATTTTCTGGAAAAATCGCCGGTTTGTTGCCGCGTCTTGTTGCGTCAATTCTCACATTGCCTGTAGACCAGAAACCCAAACATTGGTTAGAAACTAGGATAACTAATGTCCCACAAACTGGCATTCCACTTACAAGTAAGTTTCCTTCTTGCATTTACACTGGCGTATGTTTGCAATTCTGTGATCTTCTTGTTTTTGTGTAAAACGTTTCTGCAAACACATGATTTGGGATACCGCGGTCATCAATCTTAACATAACCCTTCTCAATGGCTACTTTCACCTGAATAAAGCCACAGGTTCATGGAAGAAGCGGGGGTTGGAGGCAGCCGATTGGCCTGTAGACTCTAGCAGGTGCGGTAGGCTTGTGCTTTGGAGTCGACTTCAACATTGCGCTGCTCCCACCAGTCCAGTTGGGAGAAAGTATATATATAACTGAATCATTAATTGGTTTTTATGCTACTTCTAGAGTATCCAACTGCCGGTGTAATACCGCTGTAGAAGCCAGGAACTATGCTGCTTTTAGTCAGATAAGTTTGAACCACGCTGAGGCATTTTTCGAGAAAAAGTTGCTCTAGTCAATCATGTCAGGGGACAGATTGGCGTTCCCACTGTTGGTGGGGAAGTACAAACAAGATGCAAGAATATCTCCTGGGATACAGAAAGAATTCCATGGGTACCTTTTCCAAGGAAAGAATTGAATGCAATTCTCTCTAGTCGGTCATGTCAATGGGCAGATCGGCGCTCCCACTCTGTTGGTGGGGATTTGGAAGGGTAGACCAAGAAATTTGGTCTGCTGATCTTTTCCAACAAGACAAATAAGCTGTACAACATTGAGAAATTGTGTTCATTGGGGTTATCCTTCACAAGGTCAACCGTCAATAGGGTGGTAGAATTCGAGCGGGTTGTTGCCTCCAGACCTTCCTGAGCGTGCTCAGGTGCAGTCCTTGTCAATTTCAAAGCCTTCTCTTGTGATTTTTTGTCATTTGAGCCCCTGGTTGTTGGCCACTTCTGATGCGATGCGCAGACATCATGAAGTAGGATTGGTGTTGTGTTGATATAGTCGAAAATTTTGTTCTTGTTCCAACCTTGTTGTTTGAACCATCCAATTGAGGATCTATCCAAAGAATGATCAATGGTTGGTGGAAACGGCACTGTTGTCAAAGCATGCCAAACGATTTTGACTAATTTCATAGGGTCGTTGCTTGGATTGAGTTTCTTGGGAGAGGCAACAAGCGTCCTTTCATTGCGCCATCCTTGGCGATTTTAGAAGGAGGGGGTTGCTTGTGTCGGCTCTTGGGAGTTGTCAAAGCATGCCAAACGATTTCAACCAGTTCCATGGGGAAATTGCTTTGGTTATCTTTTACCAAGTCAGCCGTCAGTTGGGTGGTCGAATTCAAACGTTTTTTTTTCTCCAGGCCTCCCTGACCTTGATCAGTTGCAGCCTTTGTTGATTTCAGAGCCGTCTCATTTGATTTATTATCATCAGAGCCCATGGTTGTAGCCTTCAATCAAGCACTTTTAGCAGCAAAACTGGTGTTGCTACACAGTCATTGCGTAGACAAAGTACTAGAGAAAATGACTTTTTGTTTGCGAAATGTGTGATTTTCGTTTTTTGAAACTGAATTTTATGAGTCCAGTTGGGAGAAAGGCCGATGCTTACGTTAAATTGAGTAGCGAGGTACAAGAGATTTGGGACAAAAACGAGTACGATGACAAACATGGGGATTTTACAAGATGTGTGTGAATCTCTAGGTTAAACTATCTAAAGGTACAAATGATGGACACTCTCTGGTCCAATTGACGGTCCCCTCAAGGTTATACTGATGCAGCAGAGAACCTTGTACTCCGAATTGGGCAAATATCAACCGTACCCCCTCTTGGGAGGACGTATCATCCGATACTGTCCAAGACTGACAATATCCAGCAACGGATGAAGACGTTTCCAAAAATTAAATTAGAAGAGCAAGTTTTCCATTTCGCTTTGCTTTCCACATGATGTGTTCCATAAGACGGTCACAAAGGGTTCCTGGTTGAATCTTGGTTAAAACGTCCGCCAAGTTCTCAGCGGAAATTATCCATTCAATTCATAGGATATCAATTGCGCATCTGGAGCGAGCGTAGTGATATGCGACAGCGTTCGATTTCTTCTTCAATGGAGATTCAGGAACACTTGAGTTCTTGACAATGGAAATATTGTCAACACAAGTATGACAATAGCCTTGGATTGGGACGCCCATCATTCTGAGCTTGAATCGTAGTCCCTCAAGTAATTCAACAGCTGTCTTTAGAGCAGCAAATTCAGAACCAAAACTGCTTGTTTCGACACTGTTTTGCTTTTTCGAATACCAGATAATAGGAGCTTTGTTAACAAAGATCAATACTCCTGTTCTTGATTGACCAGTAACAACGTTAGCAGCATGAGATGCATCAACAAACATAGTGAACTCTACCGCTTTGTCAAGAGGTGTGGGCATTTCACTTGGGAGTTCATCCTTAGTGAACTCATAGAACTGTGAGTAATCAGCTTTCTTTAATGCTCTAAGATGGTCAGCATAACCACAATCCATCACAAGTACACAATCAGGATGCTTCTGTAAATAGGCAAAAATATGTAAGGCAGCATGAAAGTGACCTTCACGAGGCATTGCATTGTAAGACAAGAGC